TATGATTTAATAACATAATTTGACAGCCATTATTGTAATTCTACTGCGAATACTGATAATCACTAGTAAATGTCAACATTTATAGACAATATTTAAATTGACGATTGTTGACTAATTAAAAAAAAATACGAACGTTAATTAGATAATATTAAAATTTACATGAAAATCTTGAAAAATAAAAAAAAAAGTTCTTAATATGGTATATATTTATTTAAAAATAACGAAAATGATATTACAAATAAATTTTAGTATTGGTAACTTGATTTATTACAAATTGACAATAATGTTTTAAATTGCATAGAATGTTTATAGTTTTACGATGCACTACGTTTTGCAATCGCATCGAGTATATCTCGTGTAACATTCGTTATAGACTTTAATATATCTATTAAACAATAAACACATCATATGATTGATCAATACAAAATATACACACTAGCTACTTTTTGACATGTTCAAATCATTACTTAATATACTAAAATGATACACGTACTTAGTAAATTCGACACTTAATAATCAACACGAGTTATACAATTTTAAAATAACTAAGATATGTGTTTATATATATATATATTTTTTTATGAAATATCACATTTAAAATAATAGTATTTTTATATTTAATGAGATCTAAATTTGAATTTTAGTCCATCCTGAATACGAAGATGTATATAACCAGTTTGCGCATCGCTTGTAGCTCAATATCCTCCAATACAAAGTATTACGCGCAATCAAACGTAAACCGGTTAAGCGGTCAGTATATTCTAATTTGGACAGAAACATGACAATTCACAGTTATGATAATATTATATGACGTGTAATGGTGCTATCAATTATTATGTGCATTACCTTCATTATTCGAAATTAATATTAAAATTACAGTTGTGTATTTTAAGCTATAACAATTTTCTGCCACATAAAAATATAAGATTCTAGAATTTATTCTGTACAATTCTTGAGAACAGTAAGTTGTAAGTCAAAGTTATATATATTACAATTATTATTTTAATTTGTATTTCATCAACTGTTGGAGTTAGGACGGCGGATTGGGTAGGCAATTTAAGGGCAATCTTGTGTAGAATAAAAAAGATGTATACACAAATTTAAAAATATGAGTAGAGCCGATGTAAAAATGATAACGCATAGTTGTCAGAATTACTCACCTATGGTTAGGTTAGGTGAAGTATATATCTATAGTTTTAAATATTAACTTCAATAAATATCCAATCGATTCATCTTTACTCCGATGACTTTGTCAATACTATAAATGTATTATTTGTTTTAAAGTAGGTAATACATAATTGATGTTTAATACTAGTTTGCGAAGTTAAATCAAACTCCAAGATTAACAATTCAATTGTCAATTATATAGTTTTTATTTTATTTTGCTACAAAAATTGAATAATCAATATAAAAACTAACTGTTGACAATTAATATTTTTATGAGTAATCACCGATGGATAAAATTAATGAAAATAATAGTGATCTTATGTAACACAAGCTATCAAAATATAGTATCTAAAACGATGGACAAGAATAAAATCTATTTATCATCATATACTTTAAGTAAACAATTAATTTCAAAATTGAATATGACCATTATCAATGTGAGTAACGATTAATTTTAATTTATCAATAAAAATAACAGTAAATTGCACTATGACATTTTTATTTTTTGGAAATGATGAATACATAAGTATAGTATAGCCTTTAACTACAAAAATAATATTTATGAGGAATCTTACATTACATTTTTAAGTTTTTCGAAAAATTCAGATTTTTAAATCTAATTTTTTGATTCAATAGAAAAAAAGCCAAAAGTTCAAAAATTGTTATTATAAAAGACTTGTAAATGCTTGATATAAAAAAATTTTATCATCTATTTAAAATTCGAGTATTTATTGTTGATGAACATTTAAAGCTTTTTCACAAAATACTTTTTAACTATTACAAAAACCTCTTAAAGCTATCGACAATTTACCATATTATGTCCTCCCATTTCAGATATGGTCTTCCCAGTGGTCTTTTCTCATTAGAATTTTCATCCATCACTATGCGTATGAGTGGGGTTTTACTAGGTACCTCAAACATGCTAAATCCATTCTTTTATTCTTTAAAATTAATACCATTTCCAATATACTGGGCTTATAGAAGAGCGTTTCTAATTCATCGTTTTTTTCTTATTCTCCATTCACCACTTAGTACGTCCTACACAGGTCCAAAAATCTTTCACAAATATTTCCTCTCCAAAACTGAGTGATTTCTATTACTTTTTCCTAATGGCCATGTCTTGGATTCGTATGTAGTTATAGGTCGTATTGTTGTGATATTTAATTATATTTTTAAATCTTTTGCAACTGATTGTGATCCAAGCAATTTCGTGAAACCATAGAGGTATTTATTTCATGACTCAATTTTCACCCCTATTTTTCTTTCGATTTCATTTCTCTCTGAAAATATAGACCTTAAGTGAATGAATTATTTTGCTCTTTTGAAATTTCGGTTTTTAACATAAAGAGGTGAATATAATCTTACAGTGTTTCATCTTTCTACGACCATATATACCGCTTTGTCCTCATCAATCTGTAGTTCAACTTTCAATTTATTTTGCTTTTTCTAGCTGACAAAACAAAAATTTTAATCCGTCTTTTAATTCCTCCATGATCACCAAATTATCTACATAAGCAAGTAGCTTTATAGACAGTTTCTATAACTTAACTCCTTGTAATTTAATACTTATCTCTTTTATTATTTTTTCTACCACTATATAGTATATTGAATAAGATTGGTAACATAGCGTATCCTTATCTTAATCTTAATTTAACTAGTATTGAGTTCGTAGTTATATTTCCTGTTTTAATTTTGACAAATGTTTCTAAAATGTTTGTCTAAAGCACTTTCATGAGTTTATCTAGAAAATGAAATTTCCTCGTGATATTTATTAGGCTTTTCTGTGTAACTTAACCTAACCTAACCTGTGTTTTTAATATATTTATCTTATAATAAATATTTGGTCTGTGGTTAACCTTCCTAGTCTAAAATAATATTGGTAATTACTAATAAATTTTTCGATTCTACATTTACCCTTGAAAACATACAACTTGAAAAAAAATTATAATCTTTCCTGCGATAGTTCTTACAGTCTTGTTTATTTCTTTATTTTATATACTTGACAAATCACCACTGTATTCCAATTTTCTAGCATTATTTTCTGTTATCCAAACCTCATGAATTATATTTTTGGCTTCTCTTTGACGAGTTCTAAACCTTGTAAACGTTACTTCATTGCTGATGTCATTTAATCATTTTTTTTTATATGCACTCCCTTTTCACATATTATATAAACCATCGTTTTCCTTTTGATGTTTACAAATAAATTAAATAGTTAAATTGTTTATGATCACCTAACTATTTAATTTAATTTAATTTTTGTTCAAACCGCTAAAATAAAATACGAACACCCTTAATAATATAGATGATTCAGTAATAAATTATTCAACGTGTTTTGTATACATATGTAGTATATATGTACCGTTATTTGAGAGGTTGATTGATATCGTATGGTAGCTCTTTTTACATTTAAAATAGTCAGTATGACTAGCATGCTAAAATTATATTTGTGAAACGGAATAAGGCACTTATGTACATATTTTATAAAATATTTGATTAGTTAAATTAGTTTAAATATATTTTTATATTTATTATGTATTAAATATTTAGTTATTAATTGGTTTAGTAACAGTGGGTTTTTACAGGTAAATAAAACGTAAATTTGAAGTTAAGAAACCTAACCTAACCTATTAGTCAAAAAACTTATGTTGCCGGAATTTATTTTATACAATGTTGGAGTTTACTTTTAAGTCAAACGTAATGCCTATCGATTATATCGATTCATTATAAACTTAACGTTGGACGGCGCTTTGTCTTAGTAACTTTACGAGTCAACCGCATACAGAATTCATAAAAGTAAAACAAATATTATACAGCGTTGACAGGGGCAAAAGTTTATAGAATAATTATTTTATTATATTATAAAATATACTTATTTTAAAATATTTCAAAATTGTTGTAATAATATTTATTTAATTTTCCATACAGTGGTTATAATATAAAAATTATTTATAGGATTAACTCGAGTTTTGATATTACTTATGTATTTCAGGTGCAATCGAAATTAAACTATTTAATGTATACGAAGTTTTATAAATATTTTTTAAATTAATATATTAGTTATAACAAAAACTGAGTTTTTTTTTTTTTTTTTTTAATAAGAGACGTTTTTACTTTTTGAGCAGAGAAAAATAAATTTAACAACCTTTCAAAAATTGGCATGACTAGATAAACAAATTGACGTAATAATAATGGCTTTTTGATAAATTTTAATTTTTAATAATCAATATTAATTATAAATCTATTGCTATATTGAATGAATGATTAATTTTATCATGAATAAACTAATTTTTAATATTATGATTCGATCGTTTCATTCTATAATAAAATATGTACATTGTTAATACCTAATTTAGTTAAATTGTTCATGAATTATGCATTGTATGTTTTATGTATTTATAGTTAATAAGTGTTGTGGAAATCATGAATAAAATAATAATATATAACAAGTGAAAATTATTTTGTCATTTAACTTGAAATTGTTATTTTATCATCCTGACGGATATTATGTTCTATGCCCTAAGCAACCATAGAAGTCTAAACACAAGTTCGCAAACAAATACTACAACGACAAATTTCATCGTACTGTGAATATGGCATCTTTCATAGTGGCCTTAAAGCCATTCTTAGTGTTATCAAACATTTTTGGAATCATAAACATTACATATACATTTGAATCCGGGTTATTGATTAAAAATTCGAGTTTTATGATTAATTACTACTTGGAACTAGTGCGAATGATCGTATTGATATACTTAACGTACATTTTCCACGTAAATAATACGTTTTTATTTCGAGATATAGTGTTGATCAAATTTTGGGCTATAGTTGTCATGGCGAGAGTTTCCGAAATATGGATTATCAAGTATAATTACACATTAATTTTTAATTTTTATTATTATTTGTTATAACTTATAACTTTATAAGTAACTAAGACATTCCTAGCTATTAATTATTGCTATTTATATATTCTACAGGTAAGTTAAATAATTGTACTGTTAAGATTTATTATTATATGACAAACATTGTAATATAATATAGTATTAAACAATAATCATAATAAATAATAAATCAAATAATACAATCGTGAAAACGATTGCGTTTTAAATTATGTTAGAGTGATACAAGTATATTTAAATTTAAGTGAAGCAAATTTTTTAATTAAAGCCATATAAAACATATTCAGTCACTTGAGTGGCATATAATTTTATTTTAATGATTTAGAGGTCTTAGTGTACAATTTTTATTACGTATCACCCAAATAATGAATTTGCTAATATTATTAGTATTTTATTTTGAACGGTAATATAAATCACCTATTTGAAAATTAATGTTTAAATTGTATGTTTTGTTTGTTTAACCAAATCGTGTACATTAAAGTGTCATCAATGTATAGAGCCATGGAGTCTTTGCACAAAATAAGTCATAATAGTAATATGACCTATTCAACATAATATCATAGTTTTTGTTTATTAAACAAATATTATTTTAAGCCCACAGTTTTTGAAACATGACTATTTTTAATGAACAAAAAAAACACTTTATTTTTATAGCTGAAATCCAATAAAACATTATTATACACTGTTTTAGAATAATCAACGGCATAATCGAATTCGATAGGGCACTCGACGGACTTTCACTGACCGTATTGGAAGAATTCATTTGTTCGACAGCAAAATACAATTGGAATATATTTTTGGCCGCTCTGCTCACGTCTTACATCAGTCTCCAAATATTTTCGATATGGCTGTGGCCGCCGGCAAGATTTAACTTCAACACCATAGTTAAATATTTTTTCGAGATACCGTGCATCATTGATTTCGTTATTTTCGCCACGGCATACTTCTATCTCCAAAATTTGGGATCTAGATTCGAAATATTGAATCGTTTCTGTAAGCGGTTACCTGACGCACTTATCATTACCGCCGGCACATGGACACAATCCAAAATCACTCAGTTGATAGAAAATGTACGGTTGTTACATGCTGAACTATGTGAACTGTTGCGTGTATTTAATCAGGGCTACGGCGTGTTGATGTTGTTTTATTTTGTGTTCAATTTTTTTGATCTCTTACGGAATTTTTACTATTTGTTACACATATCTAGATATTCGTCGTCCAAAATTATTGTTAATTTTACCACATTAAACATCATACTAATGGCTACGTTTTGCTTACAAAACATCTTCTTCGTTATACTTTTACTGATTTCTGTATCTTGGATAAACAAAAAGGTAATGTAATCCATACACAAGGTAAATTATTGTCAACATAGGTATAAAAAATGTTATTCCTTTAACGGTTAAATAGTTTGATTAAACAATTAATTCTCCATATTTTTTTTTTTTTATTTTAATGTAATATACGTATTAACTTAATACCGAGATAAATAAAACAAAATATACTTAATCTAACTGCTAAGTATCTAGAGTCTATAATATATAATGTTTATATAGTATGGATGTATAAATAAATTATAAAATAAATCAAAATAAATTTATATTTTATACGATTACCTAATTGTATTTTTCACTGATTTTCGACATCATTTTTAATTTAAAATGTTTTATATTTTGTGAATAAATTATATTAACCACTATAATTATTTTAGTTAATTTTTTTTTTTTAAATATGATATCTTAACATTTTTAAAATGTTTTCATTATTATAAAAATCTCTTAACAATTAATTATGTAACAACAATCATTAGATTAATCTTACAATCTTACGTATTATAATTTATGATAAAATATATTTAATTTACTTTTAAAATACTTATTTAATAACTATAGGTAATTAGAATAGCATTTTAAGTTATTAAGTAAAATAATATGTATCTTTTTTTTTTTATTTTCAGAAAATGGAAGTAGTTTCATTTCTAAGATTAATACACATTTCAAAACTACCATTTGATACAAAGTTACAAGTAATAATAATTTTTGTTCAGATTATAACAATGATATTATATTAAACTTACAAAATGCTAAATGTTTTATGTAACCTTTATTAATCATTTTTTTTTTGACATATAATATATTTATAATTACTTCAACTAGATTAAAATGTTTATGAATCAATTATCATATTTTGAATGGGATCAAATTTCAGCTTTTGGATTTTTTCGTATGGATTTAAAATATATAATATCAGTAAGTACTTATAATTAATAAATCAATATATAAAGTTATAAAAATTGAAAATAATTTAAATATACATACCAGTTTTTTCATTGATTTATGATGTTTTAAATTTATTTTTTCAATACATTCTTGGAAACTATTTGAAAATCTAAATAAGTATATAATAACTATAAAAATACAAAGTTGACGAAATCTAGTCGATTAATAGGGTAATATATTTTTAAAATCTCCGTTTATTAATTATTAACTAATCGAAAAAAAGACAAATTACTGTATGTATCGTTTTATAATTAATTCATAACTGGATACAACATGTAACGGATCAATACAAGAACAAATAATGTATAATATTGTGTAATAAATTAATAATTTATGTAAAAATAGGACTATAGTATTTATACCATTTTTTTATTACAGTTTTTCATTCTACTCACGGCAATATTGGCCACATCGGTACAAATGAAAAAACATCCATACGTGGTTAGATTTAACAACGCATATCATTCATATTTAAAGTTAGAGTACTTAAACATGCACGAATATGACGTATAAAACGTTGTACTTAATCATAGGATAATATTTAGTTTATACAAAAGTATCACATTTTTCTTATTCATTTATTTAAAATCTTATTTTTTTTTAAACGTTTTAACGTACTTGTGTTTGAAATTTTATTTTCGATTGGTATCTTAACGTATTGGACTATATTACATCATACATTATGATATAGATTAACTGGTAATTAATATTTTAAATTTTTAGTACCAACAAAAGTCTATTTTTAGTATTATATTATATTTTGTAAAAAAAACCGTATTTGTTATAACTTATAAGTATTAAATGGAAATTTTTATTATAATTTATCAATATTCAACGTTTTAAATAGCAAGCAAGAGATTATAAATTTATTGGTTGTAGAACATATGAATCGTAAAATATACAGCAACCTCATTATCGTTGTGTTATTAGAAATAACTTATTACTTATATTTATATTGGGATTGAATGATAACGACGTTCAATTAGTTTTCAAAACATAGATGGAAGTAGTGTGAGTAGATATTATTTCTCTTAAGACTCTTAAGTAAACCTAGTTTATTATAGAAACCACGATAAAATTTAGTACTTTAGTATATAAATTACATTATAATTTATTTTATTTTTTACAAATCATTCGTAAAATATACACAAATACAAAAAAAAATAATATATATAAACACATAAACAAACAAAAATTCTATACTAATTCAACGCATTATGTTGTGTTTGTAATAAACGCTTGCTAAGTACTAAAAAAATAAATATTATAAGTTATAACATAATATATTTATATTTAAGCAATAATACAATAATATTGCAGATGATAATTAAAAAAAAAAAAAAACTCTTAAGATAAATAATTTTCCTTGTACAATATAATATTTTATCATTTAATTTTTTTTATGTATTACATAATTATATAAATAGAAACATGATTTTGATTTTACTCAATTATTATTTCATTATAAAACTTCGTTATTTTTGCTATACTATAATAAATAATATATAAACGAAAAAAATAACGTAAGCATTATTCTATAAATAAATATCACAATATATATATAAAAAAAAATTGTAGGACATTAATTATATGTATATTATACATCCTGTTAAGAATATTATACATAATAGTTTTGTATAGAACGACCGAATTTTGTATAATAATATAAATATTATATTGTCGTTCGTTCAATATATTATCACATAATATAATATATTGTCTATAAGATGTATATTTCATCATAATACTGGTATGTGTAAATATTTTGCGAAGGATAGTCGCCGTGCGCAATGCGTTTTGAAAAGTGGCATTGTTCGCACGACAGTCGATTTTATTTTTATTTGAAAAGGAATGTTAATATTCTGATGGATACCTCATCGCCATTGTACATATACACTTAAAAAGTGTTCTATAACTTGATAGTTGAAATCGGATGCACCGCTGTGGCGTTTGACCGTCTCTTTTCCGGCTCTTCCATCTGTTTCCGTCCCTCGACACTGTGCTTCATGCCGTACAATACGTATATAAACAGCCCAATCAGCAGCCAAATGCCGAAACGAATCCAGGTGTGTATGTCGAGTTTCATCATCAAGTAAACGTTTAACAAGATACTCAAGCACGGTATAAGCGGGACCAGCGGGACCTGTGACAATGAGACAAGAGGCTTTTTTAAATGTTTGTGCTTATGAAAAAGAATTTTTACGTAGGTATGCATAATAATAGCTAAGAAACACTATAAATTTACAAAAAATATTATAGACTTCTTTTCAAATTTTTTCATAGCTGTCTTTTTTATTATAACCTTTTATATTTTAATATTTTTAGATTAGGTACTCATCAAAAAATATTCATGCATAAATGTTAAATAAATAGTTTTTTATTTCTAACATTCAGATTTCGAATTAATTGATTTATAACCTAATGTTTAAAAAAATATCTATGCTTGCTTTCAAATTCATTATCAAATTTATACTATTGATTGTCACTGAATATCGTTTAGATAAAGCCTAGTTAAAAAATAGTATATTTTTATATATATATATATAAAAAAAAAAACCGTAAATATATTACTATCAATGGCTATATCATGTTATTATTATAGTTATTATGTGAATAGAGATCGATAACGATTAGTACCTTAAACGAAAGTTCTTTGGTCGATTGTGGTTGTCTGGCGAGTAATAGCAACTGAATCAATAGCCCAATGGCTAAAATAGCACATGTGTATGCCGCGAAGTCACTACTATTCTCAATACTCTCTTGTTGGACAGTAATGAAGCAAAACAGCGCAGACGTGCAAACTACAAAATAACAATCAAAATATTAATAACATTAGATTAAACGATCGATCGTTGGCGGGCTATTTCGTTTAGGTACATACTAAACAACATCGTGATGATCGTGGCCACACTCTCGGTTTCTTCATTGGCGTATTTGATGTTGGACAGGTTAAAATACTTTACCACGGTCTTGACGATCGTCTCCGTAAAACTGCTGGTCTCCGATTCGTCATTACCTTTAATTACAAACTCTACGTCTGAGTCATTTCTATACCTTAATATTAACACGCAAATGCACACGATCGAATATGCTAATAACGTGCCGATTGACATCATATCGATCAGCTGTTCCAAGTTGAAAATCGCTGACATAGCTCCTGTAAAAAGCGGTAAATCAATCTCAAGGGGTCCGTATTGTACACGCCGACTGTATATTGCAAAATAATGATAATATTTTATTTACCCGCCAGAAAACCTGACAGCAAAGTGGCTAACACAGGTGTCTGATACTTTGGGTGAATGTCAGAAAACATACTGAACAGGAGACCGTCGCAGGACATGGCGTATAAAATCCTCGGCAATGGGAACATAGTACCTATTAGACTGTAAAATTCGTTATTTTTCGTGAATCGCAATTAAAATTAATATTTTTGATAAATGTATGCCTACCTGGTGAACAGAGCAAAAATAGCACCTGAAGAAACAATCCATTTCACTGTTGTCCAGCCGAGATGATCATAGACGTAGGGGAACGGCGCGTCAGCGTCCTATAATGTGTTGAACATCGAGTTATAAATAGTTCGAAATTATAATATGCGGACTTTAATCATCATATTATTGTTGGAAATTAAAACACCGAAAAGAATGTTATAGGCTGTTACAATTAAGTACGCGGTCTAACATAATTTTTAATTTTAAGTTTTAATATAATTTTTTTATTTCTTGAAAAAGTATTAAATAAAAAATATATGTGCAATCAAGCCTAAAAGTAAAAAAGATTAAAAAAATGGATGTTTAATAATAAAAAAAGTTCCTTTAATAAATACCCACTACCTATAATATCTAATTATTTTAAAAATAATGATAAAACTATTTAGTATATAGATATAGGTACATAGTGTATGGTTTATATAACATAAAATCATTAAATTCATGTACATATTATCGACTTAATTAATATATAATATCAAAACAATATGTGTATGTGATTTTTTTTCGCCAAATCGTATTTACTTTATCCAAATATTGTTCTTTAAGATTAAAAAAAATCATTTTGGTTAAACCACATACCACAAACTAAGGGATAATTTTGTTTTCCAAAGAATTGATCGATATACCTGATTATAATATGGCCACATTAGAGTTAACACCGAACTGATACAGCAGTATGCAAACGTTATGATGGTTAACGACAATATGATGGCCAATGGGATGTCCCGTTTCGGTTTTTTCGCTTCTTCTCCTATATACATAGAAATTATTTAATTTTTATTAAATTTGTGTAGCTTAGAAAATGAATATATTGTCGATTATTTATTCCCATTCGACACTTACCCGTTGTAGCTACTGTGTCGAATCCGATGAATCCGTAAAAACATTTTGCTGCCCCCGCAGTCACTCCGGCCCACCCAAAAGGCATGAAACCTCCTTCGCCGCCCTTCACGTTCTTCGGGATATCTTGTTTTGGTATGTTCCAATTGTATAAATTAACTATAATCAACGACAACAAAATATTATATCAACACGTGTCACGTATTACAGTATTGATGCCCTTATCTAAAATATTATTTATCCACGCTGATGACTTATGATTTAAATTAAAATATTATATAATACCTTTGAATAATCCAGTTATAACGACAGTGGCCACGGTTAATAAATTAACGACTGTAAATATGTTGTTGATCATAGTGGATTCGCGAACTCCCCATGACAGTAAGACTGTAATGTTAAATATCGGTTAAATAATATTTTAACGTACCTAGATAAATTTTATTACGGTTATTATAATATGGTTCATCTATAGAACATTTTTTAGCTTACTTGATAATAGTAACACAACGCTAAACGACAAAAAGTCTGGAAACTCGGACAAAAAACTGACATTCATAGGAAAAAGTTCGGTCATTGTTCTTTTCATGGGATACTCTAATAGAGCATCAATGTAGTTACTTAAACCTTTGGCCACACTTGCAGTGCCTGTAACAAAACAAATTAATATACTCAATTTTAATGTTTAGCACATTTCAATAGGTTTCTTTGAAATTATAACTTAAGTGTTTTCATCATGTGCACTGTAATTTAATTTTATTGTGTAAATTTCAAGATGTCCTAATCAAGAAATTATATATCATAAAACTTTTTATATATTTTTTAAACGTAAGTATAGTTTATTTATTATTGTACGTATTTGTTACATTTAAAATCACTAAATGTAACTTTTTCGTCTTAATTATTTGTACATATTCTTTTATTTTCACGCATATTAATCGGTATTTCTGTAAGATGATTTTTAAACATTTTATAAATAAAATCATAAAAGTGGATAAAAAAAAATTATATGAATTTATATTATATTATATGTTTTATAGTTTTTGATATGTGTTATTGTAGTTAATAATATGTGCATAAGTGTAAACACAAACATATTATTATAAATCGTTTTAAAATTAATATAAATTATTATTTGATTCAAATCATAATGTTAACTTTTTGTGTTTTTAAAATTTTTAATTGTCAGAGTTTCAACGTAAAAAACATTTGCTAATATTACGATAAAATATAGTACATATTAGATTAGCGTGTGACCGCGGACACAATTTCTAAGGCTTTATTATCGTTACAGTTAGCGTCCTACAACATAGTTAAATAGGTAATAGGTAATAATTACGCTTAACAATGTACAGAATGGTTATTTTATTTGGTGTTCCGACATAATTGTTGGAAATGCATTCATATTTTTGATTATTATTATGCTAAGCATTTGAGAATACGTTTGTCAATGTTTATCAGTTATCACTACCCAATTGTTCTAGAAACTTAAGGTTAAAATTATTTTTAACAATATGCCTAGACTTATTTTATAAAATATTGGCATTAGTTCCCGATTAACTTTTTACCCTGTATAAGCTTGATAGACCTAAATTTCACTCACCAATGACGTATTCGAGTATCAGATTCCATCCGATCACGAACGCGACGAATTCGCCAACGCCGACGTAACTGTAAACGTAAGCCGACCCGGCTTTTGGCACTCGCGCTGCGAATTCAGCATAACACAGACCTGCAGGTATAATAAGATAATAATTACATAATAATATATTATTAAGCTGTTGAGTCGTTAATAATAATATTAGAGTTATTTCCGGTTTGGACTAGTTACAGCTAGGGTGCCTAGACGTCTCATATTATAATAATTCTTTTCGGTACGACGGTATTATGTTATTATACACGATTTCAACTTTTAAGCACCTATGGAAAAATTATTTATGATGGGGAGAAAAATCGTAAATTGATTTTCAACATTTTTGCAATATTTCACATCGATATTTTTTTAACAAATCCTATAATTTGTTTGCTTATAATATTTTATTGTGATGCGTATCGTTCTTTTGATTTATTTATAATATATATATATATATTATATATAAGGTTTATAGCAAATGGTTAGAAAAGTATAAAATACGTGATGAATTGAGTATATTTGACTGTAATATAACGGATCCGTGGTCACGATTTAACTCGTTTTTATTATATGGATAAATGTTTCAGAATCTAACCAATCTGCCTTAATCGAAGTCCTATTATTTGATCAATTTTCAATTTTTTTCAATATTTATTTATTTTTTCTTATCTCACCTGCAAAAGCTGACGCAAAGGCAGCCAAAATGAACGATAGCACGACCGCCGGACCGGCGTCCGTTTTAGCTACGGCTCCGGCGAGCACGTACACGCCTACACCCAACGTTGATCCTACGCCAAGTGCCGTCAGATCTACCAGATTGAGGACTCTGGCTAATTTCTCCTTGCCCGGTTGGTCAATCAGTACGTCATCATCACTTTTACGTCTAGACATCACCTGTATCAGTTTTTCTCGCTGCAATAATAAAAAAAAAAAAATTACCTTATAATTATTTTCGTTTTCTATTTCATAATATCATCAACAGATTAAATCACAACGAGTTGACATTACTCGTCAAGTTACCGTTGAACTCGGTTTGTATCATTATTCAACAGGTAATAATAGTCAAGTGTAATCTAAAAATTTAGAATTTTTCCTTGTCAGGTTAAATTAAAAAATCGAATACATAATATGAGATAATGTAATGTATATCACATTATATATATATATATATATATATGTTTCGATACATTGAAAGTAAAAATTATTTGTACAAGCATTTCAATAGAATTTGCTGCAAAAATTATGACATGTCCATTAGTTATAAGCCTTTCTAATAAAAAAAAACAGTGAAATTTCAGATATTTATTTATTATTTTTAAATATTACTACCTTTTCAACTCTATAGCAAAACATGAGTGAAGTGAGTTCATGGTCGCGTTATCTACCTTTAATTAAATATTTTCATTCACAGGCAACTTCAATGATAGGCGATAACTATAATGAGATAATTATTTAAAATAAATCAATCCGAAAAAAATACAGTAAAATATGTATTAATTTTTTCAACTTTTAAAATTCAATTTAAATTGTATTTAAAATCATACATTTGGATTCCTAGTTTTACTTTTTGTTTTACTGCATGTTATCTAATCATTTTTATTTCCGATCTCGTCATCCAAATAAACTGTGTTAAACGTACCAGGACATTTATATTTTATAAGAAAAATTAGCATAATCATTAGAAGTATTTAAATTTTTACGAATAGGGTAGTTCTTGAAATTAAAATACATTCTGTTAAATCCTCGAGAATTTAATTTATAATAAATTATTTTTTAAATGAGCATTTTCTTAAGACATTTTTCTGTGAATTTCTCAAAATGCTCACAGAATTAATTCAATACAAAACTTAAATCATTTCATTTTAGTCTTCTGTTTGGAATATTTTGAATTGCTATTTATTGTTTAGTTATTTTTTCAAAGAAAACATTAGCGATACAACTAATGAAAATAAAAAATTCGTTGAAATTTACCATATTATAATAATAATTTATAAATCTTCATTGTTGAAATACGAAACAAATTAAATTGTATTATTACATTTTATTTAGAATTTAAGTAATGCATTTTTTAATTATATTACACGTAATGATTTTACGTTTATAAATAACAAAACACACTATTTGAAATCTGATATATTTTATTATATTAAATCAAAATGTATTACGGTAAAATATATAATAACAATTTCAATAAGCTATTATTAAATTGATGACAGACGTTTGTTAATATTTTTTTAATTTTAAATAATAAGTTGTAGTATTATAAAATTTACGATAGCATTATGTATTATCATTAACTATAATATATTATAAAATATAAATATAAATTGTATAATATATTTTACTCAATGGCATTGTCTAAAAAATAAATAGCCGTTTGTAGATTTTAAATATTTATTAATATACAAATAATTACAACGTTGTGCGTTGTAGACTGTAGTAAATAATATCACATTTCATTATTTGTTGAGTTTTGATTGTGAATTGGAATACAAATAATAATACAATATTATGCTATAATAATATGATTATATGGTCAAATACGTTAATGAGAATTCAATAGAAACGTTTTAAATAATATGCAATTTCATATGTAGATATAAAACACATTATTCTGTAAATAATTAAAATACTTATAAAGATACAATATGAATTGATTATGTTTAAAATTAAAATGTAAAAGTTGCAATAATAAATTTAATAATAATAATAACGCACTTTATTATAGCCGTTATTCGTAATCACAATTTTGGCAAATTAATTATTTTCATAAAAGATAACGCAATATATGACTATTTAGTTAAAAAAAATTATACCTGTTAAAACGTATAAACATAAAATCAGAGTTTTAGTTACAAAGAATTATTTAAATATTTTGTCTGAGTATCACATAGTGTATGTAAAAACCTATACAGTAACTAAGTTCATAAAAATATTCTTCCTAATCAATAGAATATATTATGTGTTCAGTTTCAATTTAAAATCAGACATATCTTGTTATTCAGTTTAAAATATACCCAAGTCTTAAGACTTAATGGTTCTACACCGTTTTGTATTTAAACTGCTAATATTCGCCACTAAATTTGTACACATCCGCGCGCATTAAACAATCTATATATAATACTTTATGTATAATATACTACTAATTAATAATAATTTAACAAGGGTTTGTTTTATCTAAGCTTTAATCGCTCATAAGTGCACGATTATGCAAGAGAAGAGTTCACGTGTTTAGCGCAAGCCGTTACATTAATTATTATTAATAACACATTTTATTTATTTAATTGTTCAGTAAGAGATAATATATTCATCAAATTAATCTTTAAAACCAGCTAAATGTATTACGAATAATATATACTTCATTAAACTGTGAGTTATTTTAAGTCTATTATTGTCGCTACTTATAAAAATAATGATACCTATTTAGTGTATAATGTAATCTAATAAAGTGAATTGGAGTTAAACATTTTTAAATTTAAATTTTTTTTAATATGGCGATGACTCTTCTGGAAAATTTTAAGAATGGACACTAGTATATTACTAACAGCTATATGTATATATATATATTATATACATGCATGCGTGTAGAAATTTATAGGTATTACACAATGCCCCAATACGATTATATTAGCTTGTATGTCTAACAAATATATTTTCTAAGGTTTCTAGTGCATTTTACTTTCCAGTAAGACGTGTTTTGATTTAAAAGTGTGCAATATAGTATAACATTGAATGTATAAATGTATAATATAATATAAATTAATTAATATGCATAATGTTTAATTTAGTAAATGGCAATAATGACGTTTTTTTAAGTTTAATTTATTTTAATTATTATTATATTGGTTAATGTGTAGGTATAATTCAATAAATGTATAATTAACATTAATTACATGTATTCAATATTATTTTTATTTTTTAAGTAATCTAAATTCAAAATATTTTTATATTTATACTAACTAAAAGTTTAAATATTACTCTATTCGTGGGACTGATTCTTCTGTTTTTATTTTTATTTTTTTTAGATTAACAATTTTTTAAGCTTTATATTCTTAGACTTATGCCTTATCATTACTTACTTATCAGTTTTTCAATAATATAAATTATATGATAATATTCTGTTATTTATAATTTTAAAAATTAAAATGCCACGATTAGTTATAAGTTATAACCTAAACAATATAATATGTTTATGTCTAAATAAAAAAAATTTAAAACCGTAAAACATAATATCTTATACGATTTTAATGTTTAAGACATTTGTATTTACAAATAATATGACTAAGCATATTAAATATATTATATAGACATATAGGGAACAATGCTTCTAATGTAATATCTATAAATTTAAGTAATTTTTACTTATTTTGTACCTTTAAAAAGGAGTTAGTTTGTTTATGTACTTCAAACTTAATTAAAAAGGCAAAATCTGACATTTCATCGTCATTACATGTCATGATGAATTAATTAAACTCCGCGATATATACATTACAAAAGTCGATTTTCATTATTGAATATTCATTCTGTACAAAGTACACCATATCATATATTGTTTGTGGGCCAATTTATAAAGATTCCTATTTCCTAAAATAAGAACATTGCAATAATAATATTGTACTAGTAGTTTTACTATTTAATGATTTTAATGTCTAATCGTATTCTGCATAAGTATGAAATATCACTGTCTTTGTTAACCATAACATTGGTGGTTTGTTATAATTGCATAAATATATTACACAATTTTAAAAATGTGCAGAGAACTCCATGCGTTTATGAAATATATGTGTATCAATGCAAAATTTATATTTTAAATTTTTATCTATATAAGTAATAAGTAATAAATAATCAGAGCTTAAAAATATATATTTATAAGAATCTGTTCATCTAAATATAATATAATAAATTATAACTATAAAACATAGATTGTGCAATGTTTTAAAATTACAGACCGCTAATTAACAGCCATTTAGTTGAATAAATGATTAAACGTTGCTAATATTTCAATACTCCATATTTTTCTATAAGTACATAATTAATTTCAATTCATAAATGTATAGGTACTATTGCATATAGACTTTTACTATTTTCTAAATGATTTTGAAAAATATACACAAAAAAAAAAAAAACATTAGTCATCAAGTAATATTTGCGTAATAATTTCGGAAAATTTACAGGAAAAAAACTTAACCAAGTACACGTCATTTAAATAACTACAACATATAAAACATGTTTGTAAATAAAATAAAATAAAAATAAATACATGACGCAAATATTTCTTTGTATGAGTTTCGTGACAAATCGCTACATTTTATCTGTACAAAACTAAATACATTATATTATGATCATTTTTGCATCTTTTAGTATTTTTCAGGAATGTGTCACTCTGCACAATATACTATTAAAATACTCCGAAAATCACAAGACTTATAAGTTATAAGTTATTGTATTGTAAGTTATTAATAAATTGTTTATAATTTTTGATCTAAAATGATAACTTTGAGATTTAAAAAAAACTTCACAGAGTTTGTCAAATAATTTCAAATAAACTCTTAAAACACGATATCTGCAATTGATAACTTATAATTATATTCTACTTGCCTAACGTTTTTATTATGATATTATCATTAGGTTTTGTAAAATATTCTTAAATTATTATCTGCGTATAGTCATATATTATTATTATATTCTTACGACACATGGATGTTCTATTGATGATATTATTAATATAACAAATAGCTATAGGCTACGTGATATTGACGAATCTCCAAAAATGACTCGTTACAATAGAACTGAGACCATCATCATAGGTATCGAGTTAAATTTTCGTCTGGTCTTTGTCTATTTTTATTTATCGTCGTACTACCGCAGACGAAGTGCACTCAGACGACCGACGGCGACGGCTGATGCAATGA